AACATAGAAAAATAAAGGAAGGTTAGAAAACTAAAAGTTATGGAACACCGTTAGTAGAAGAGATGGGTCGGATACGGAATGGAGATCAGGTGAATCACCATTACTAGGTGAATCACCATCACTGTCATTTCTACAGTTGTCAGGCTGACAAATCCTCAAAGTCATCTTCACTGCCACTATCACTGGCTGCTTGGCTGGTTGCGGGCGAAGAACCGGTTATGCTTTTTACGGCTGGTGTTTATGTTGTCGATACACCGTGATGCGCCCATAGCTCACCAGCCGGGTATGAAGACTTCATAGCGTCATTGTCATTGTCGCGGAAAGGAAGGACTTATTTCTGCACACCCATGGCACCTTAATATCACGAGTGAGTTAAACTGTGTTCTGGAGACTGAACCTTCTTTTCTCCTCTTCACTGACGTGATCTTCTTCCAACATCTCGTCGGCAGTCACTTCAGGATCTCTGATCACCTCCAAACAACACATTAAAAAAATTTGACGGCGGAAACTCGAATTTCGACGGGTTTGAACGGCCCACCAACGTTCAGACGATGTGCACAATCGTATAAACAGCGTCATTTCTCTTATGTACAAAAGATTCATTATTGTTTATTACTGAAAGTCTTTTTGAATGAATTAATGTTTGTGTGTGCAAAATAAGCAATACAATTCATTAATAATACGTAGAATATTAAAACACGAGGAAATGAGACAGCATTGTTTTCGTTGATTACAAAACCAGTGACTGACTGGTTCTACATATAAAACTGAAGAAAATACGACCCTGGTTGTAGCTGTAGTAAAATTAATATGGTTGTTTTAAGTAATGTTATTTAATGTTAATAAATGGAACAATAGAAGTAGCTAACGATAATGGTAAAGAAAAAAGAGAGATCGCGTATGTAAGTGTGCATGCGCACACATGAAAACATATCGTCATTACTTTACATAAGAATATGAAAGCAACACATATTTACTGTTCATATATATTTTAATTGATGTTTCTGAATTTGTTTTTATTGAATTAATGTTTGTGTGTGCAAAATTAACAATACAATTTATTAATAATACAGTCGACCCTCGTTAAAACGGACTAATAGGAGGGGAAGGGTGTCCGTTTTAGCCAATTGTCCGAATTAACCGATTTAAGGGTTAATATTGCATAATATTGCATTATACAGCTATGTGTATGTTTATTTGAGTGCCCTGTCATAGGAGTCCGTTTTCTCTCACTTCAGGACGCCTGAGTCGTCCGTTTTCTCTTAATCTTAGAGTGCACCAGTGACTTTGTTATTCCTTAGCAGTGACAGCATTTGATGTTGCAATTATTGAGGCAACTTAGTTATGTCTGATTACAGTTGGAATATTCAAGATCCATTGTGAGTGATGTTTAAAGCTTCAACTGTCTTTATGGTTGGTAAAACTTGTCAAATCTGTCAGTCTGAGTGGCATGTGTGAGGCCTTGTGTTTGTACAACCGCTAAATATATATATATATAATGTTGTGGTAACTATCAGAAACACACATAGGCATGACGAGGTTTATTACAAAGTGATGAAAATTATACGATCAATACTGTACAGTGGGTAGTCCACAAAACATGTAGCCATGTCTCTTTATTTGAGTGCCCTGTCATAGGAGTCCGTTTTCTCTCACTTCAGGACGCCTGAGTCGTCCGTTTTCTCTTAATCTTAAGAGTGCACCAGAGACTTTGTTATTCCTTAGAAGTGACACAGAATTTGAAATTGCAACCCCAATTGCAACTGGGACAATCCCAGAACCAGAAATTTGATATGGACAGTTCAGATTTCGTCCGTTTTATCCGAAATCCGGATTAAAGGAGTCCAAATTAACGAGGGTCGACTGTACGTGGAATATTAAAACACACGAGGAGACGAGACGGCTGCCGGCATTGTTTTTGTTAAAGCTTACAAAACCAGTGACTGATTGGTTCTACATATAAAACTGAAGAATATAAGACCCTGATTGTAGCTGTAGTAAAATTAATGTAAAAAAATTAATATGGTTGTTTGAAGTACCTGTAATGTTATTTAATGTTAATAAATGGAACAATATAAGTAGCTAACAATTAATGGTAAAAAAAAAGTGAGATTGCGCGTATGTAAGTGCGCACATGTGAAAACATATCGTCATTACTGTACATAAGAATATGAAAGCAACACTTATTTACTGCTCATATATATTGAAGGGTTAAATGTTGTATTCCGTATAGACAAGCAGAGAGAGAGAGAGAAAGAGCAGCCAAACTGCCAGATGTAAACAAACCTTAATTTCCCGCGGCTTTGTTGTTGTTGTTTTTTTTACGGGGATTAGCCCACCCGGGCATAGGTCACTGACCCACATTGGGGCCTGAGGGGCAAAAATTTAATACTCCTGTAATAATAATAATAATTCAGATAAGAAAAAAAAATCCGGGTCATAAGTCCGACAGATAAAAAAAAAATCAAAATTTTTTTTTTCAATTTTTTTTTAATAAAAAATCTACAATGAAATACAGTACAGTGAAAGTAATAAATAATGAGGAATGGATACAGTGTGACTGAGCACTTAACCTTTAATGTAGTCAGCTGAATGCTCATGGGGCCCCCATAATTTTCTAATTATACATGGAGACTACATTAACTGGAAACGTTTCGGTATAGAAAATGCGTGTCATTTGAAAAAAAAAAAAAAGTCACAACTGCAGCGGTCGTAAGTACCGATGGTCGTAAGTCCAAGCAGTCATAAGTCGGGGACTACCTGTATATATATACAGTGTAAATGCTATAACGAACGGATCCTACTACGAATATTCCTATAACGAACGGTTTTACCTATAAAAGTGAGAATGCTATAACGAACGAAACTCCTACAACGAACATTATTTAAAAAATTTTTTTTTTTTTTTTTTACTAATTGTTTTTTTTAATACAAGCATTAATGATACTCTTTATTTCAGGGGTTTAGATGCATATTTATGCACTTTTTTACAATTTTTACAATTTTATATTATATTTTTCAGTGTTAAGTGGTTGTATTTGGGGGCCTGGAACGGATTAATCCTATAACGAACATGGTTCTAGAACCAATTAGATTCGTTATAGCACACCCCACTGTACTGTAGTTTCTACCCACCATTTGTCTTACTATTAAGTATATCTCACCTCTAGCATCTGCAAATGCACCTCTTTCATGCTCATTTGCCCTATAAACTTCTCTTCTAGCCCCTCCAGGCATGCCTCTTGTCACCACCCATCTTCCAAATCTTATAAAATAATCTTTTCTTCATATCTTTGTCCACTTCATCATTCCACCACCATGTTACTAAATGCCTGGCTGTGCCCTTCATGGCTCAATTATGTTTCTACTTAACATTTCAGATACAAATTTACTGAAGATACATTAATCTTCTGATTTTGAAGCAATATATTGCATGGCTTCTCAATCTTTCATCTTAACCCTACCTGGTGCAGGTGCCTGGCATCGGTATCTATTGCCATAAGTAAAGGGGCGAGTAATAATTGAGTGTTAAGTTCTGGCAACCATTATGGCCAGAATGTCAAACAGCACAGTTTATTTTTTTATTAATTCTTCAGTCCTTCTTCCAGTGTAATAAATAACTTGCAAATTTTTTTCTGTACATTCTAACGAGTTTGTTACGATACTTAAGTACGTATAGATATATAATGTACATAATACAAACATGTATCTGGTGTAGGTCTCACGCATCTGTACAGTATCTATAGTTTGTAATGCAGTGCGTTAAGGGCATCTGTAGGCTGAGGCGAGCGTTATGGCCAGGTTATCGTACCGCACTTTTTTTCATTTTCTATTTCTTCCTGTATCATAAATAATTTACATATTCTTCAATACATTCTTACGAGTTTGCAACAATACTTATGTTTAGGACTTATGTATAAGTAATATGCATACTGTATAAATTTATACAAAGTGAAATCGGGATTATTGACTTGTAATCTTATAGCGATTTGATTTGATGTAAGTAAATAACAGAGACACAGAGAGTACAAGGAAAATTGTCAAGATTATCAAGAAAATTATAAGATCATTTAGTGTATACAGCTAGACCCCGACTTACGATGGGGTTAGGGACCCAAATCCAGGTCGTAAGTCCAAATGGTCGTAAGTCCGACATAGATTAAAAAAAAAAAAAAATTAATAAAAAATCTACAATGAAATACAGTACAGTAAAAGTAATAAATAATGAGGAATGGATACAGTACAGTGAAAGTAATAAATAATAAGGAATGGATACAGTGTGACTGAGCACTTACCTTTAATGTAGTCAGCTGAATGCATATGGGGCCCTCATAATTTTCTAATTATACATGGAGACTACATTAACTGGAAACGTTTCGGTATAGAAAATGCGTGTCATTTGGAGAAAAAAAAATAATTATCTATGTCGTAAGTCCCGACGGCCGTAAGTCGAAGCAGTCGTAAGTCGGGGTCTGGCTGTACTATGTTTACCTATAAATGTTTTATCAAGAAAGTGTATAGCTTGGGCAAACAGTATTTCCCAAATATTGTACAGTCAACTTATTTGTTTCTTTACTTCCTCTTTCATTAGTCAGTGACATGTGTTTGTTTCTTTACATCCTGACGAATTTACAACGATAGTTATAAGAACAGTTACTGTTGCCCGGTTCTCACATTTTATAAACGTCAAATAATACAACTATAGTCAACAGGCAAACCATATTGTTCTTGTTACAGTAAATGAATTTCTATTGACAGCATAACTATAAGTGCAAATCTATCACTTGGTTATTGGAATATGTACACTCTCCCAAAAAAGTATTGCCCCCCAAAAGGGCCAAATGTCTCTGGTACAAAGAATGTTGAAGGAGAAAAGATACAGTACTTGAGTTTAAGGATGTATTAAACATGTTTGTATGCAACATTTTATTTAAGAATTTTAGAGTTCCTCTGGCCATTGGTTTCCATGTTAATCAATGTTTACTGTATTGTATTTTCAGAGTTGGAGGACTTTATTGTGGAGGATCCTCACAACTGTTCAGACCTACTGTTCTCCTGGCTCTACTCGGAGTATTCATCAGACCATGATTTTTCTCAGATCAACAACATATTCACCAAAGCTCTAACAGCTGGAAACAAGAAAGAAAAAAGTTACTCGGATATTGTCAACAGTATTGTGTTGAAAGTTTTAGCCAAAGATCCAACCAAGGAGAGAGATGAGTATGTTGAATGTCTCAAAATATGTCTTTAATAAGCCATTTGCTATACTGTATTTTTGTTTTGCATGAAGAACATACCCGTAATTAGGATTGCTTGTACATATTCCTTTTTATTTCTAAGGGATAAATTTTCTAGTCACTGTACAACTTGAATATTTTCACCTTCCCAGTAGCGGCTTTTATAAATCTATGCCTATATCCCTTTTCTTACATACCCCTTGGTTATTTAGATGCTTCTTTTTTTTTTCCTGCAAATATTGACCAAGAGATGCATCCAGAAACTTATCCTAAATTTGTTTTCATAAGAACATTAGAAAATAAGGAGTCTGCAATAGGCCGGTTGGCATGTGCATGGCAGCTCCTGTCGAGAGTTCCTACCACTCTCTATCATCCATGAATCTATCTAGCCTCCTTTTGAAAGTTTCCAGAGTTCCCGCACTTACTACAAAGTTGCTAAGCTTGTTCCACTCGTCCACCACCCTATTTGTGAACCAGTTTCTTCCTATCTCCCTCCTAAACCTAAACTTATCCAACTTGAATCCGTTGCTCCGAGTCCTATCCTGCTCGGATATTATAAGAACTTTATCTATATCCCCTTTATTGATTCCTTTCACCCATTTAAATACTTCTATCATATCTCCCCGCACTCTTCGTCTTTCTAGGGAATGCAAGTTAAGTTTCTTTAACCTATCCTGATATGGAAGGTTTCTAAGTCCCGGAATAATTTTTGTCATTCTTCGCTGCACCGACTCTAGTGAATTTATATCCATTTTATAATAGAGGCACCAGAACTGAACCGCATAATCGAGGTGCGGCCTGACTAGCGCAAGATATAGTTGCAATAAGACCTCTGCACTCTTGTTACTTACACTTCTAGATATAAAACCCAATACTCTGTTTGCCTTTATTTCTCGAACATTAACGCACTGTTTTCTAGGTCAGAGGTCCGGGCTATAAGTACCCCAGGTCTCTTTCACAAGTCGACTTCTAGGTTGATGTTGTTAAGGCTGTATACATTATAAGTATTTGTTCTTCTCCATACAGCACGCTGCACTTAAGGGTGCTGAATTTCATTGGCCATTTTTCAGACCACCCCTCAGTTTATTTATAGATCCTCCCAGATGCTTGCAGCTCACCCTAAATTAATTTGTCAGCCTCTATTTGGTGCCTTTTCTTCATCCTCGCAAACTTGCTTATGTCACTGCTGATCCCAGTATTCAGATCGCTTATGTAGATTATGAACAAGAGTGGCCTAGGCATTGACCCCTGGGAAATTCCTAATGTTACACGGTCCCACTCAGATTTAACACCATCTACGCTGACCCTCTGCGTTCTATCGGTGAGCCGTGATTTTATCCAATTTAAAACTTTCCCCTCGATACCATGAGCCTTAATTTTTCTCAGAAGCCTCTGATGCCGTACTCTGTCAAATGCTTTGCTAAAGTCTAAGTAAATAACATCGTAATTTTCGTCAATATCTACTACCTCGAAGACTTTCCTAAAAAACGTTAGCAGATTTGTTAGACAAGATTTTCCCTTTGTAAACCCATGTTGAGAGTCGTAGATTAATTTGCTTTTCTCTAGATGCGATCGGATGCTATCTGCTATAATTGATTCAAGAAATTTCCCCACTACTGACGTCAAACTGATCGGACGGTAATTTGACGCTGATGCTCTGTCTCCCTTTTTGAATATGGGTACTACACTTGCCTGTTTCCACAAGTCTGGCACAACTCCAGTGTCTAATGATTTTGTAAATAAGTTTACGAGGGGTCCGCTAATCTGTTCCCTACACTCTTTCAAGACTCGAGGGAAAATTTCATCTGGCCCTGGGGATTTTGTTTTCTTTAGTTTATTTATCTTCTTAGAACATCCTCTTTTCTGATAGTGATATTCTTTAATTTCTCTTCTTCCTTTCCCTTAAATATCAGTTCCACCGCTGGAATTTCATCACAAATTTATTCTGTGAAAACTGATAAGAAGTAGCTGTTCAATGCTTTGCTTATTTCTTCACTGCCATTTATCACTTCTCCCCTCCCTGACTTTAAAGGCCCAACTTTGTCCTTGACCTTTGTCCTATATACCTGGAAAAATCCCTTGGGATTTGCCTTGGATTCTCTTGCTATTTTGATTTCATAGTCTCTCTTTGCTTTCCTTACATTTTTCTTAACATTCCTAGATAGTTCATTATACCTATTTCTGAGCTGCTCCTCCCTCCCTTTAATTTCTTATATATTCCTTTCTTTATTCCTATGTCATGTTTAAGTTTTCTGGTCATCCACCTTGGCTCATTCTTATTTGACCTAATTTTTCTGTGTATGGTATATTTTGTTCTTGTGCTTTATGTAGTATACTAGTGAATATATTATAGTCATGATCAATTGTTGTGTCATCTATGACCTCACCCCTTCCTACTGGGGACTGACGTGACTGTTCCCAGGTGACCTCACCTAGGTACCTTCTTAACCCCTGATAATCCGCCAACCGAAAGTTTGGGACTCTGACCATATTGTCATTGTTTTTCTTTTCCCAATTTAGGGTGAACCTGATTTCTCTGTGATCACTGTTACCTAGTTCTTCCCCTACTGTGATATCTCTGATAATATTTTCTTTATTTGTTAATAGTAGGTCTAATATATTGTCACCTCTAGTAGGTTCTGTAATTAGTTATTTTAAAAAATTGTCCTGTACTGCGTCTAGGAAGTCTTCAGATTCATAGTCACCTATAATGTTGTCCCAGTCAATATTTCTGAAGTTGAAATCCCCCATAATGCATAGGTTGATATATTTTGCTACCCTACTCATTTCCTGCCATATGGGCTGAGCTGTTTCTTTGATTTACATTAGCTTGCCTATCACCTTATTCAGGAATACAGGTCCAAATAGAGAATTTATTATATTAGTAATCACAGTCAAAAGTAATCATCCATTCCACCTAGTCCCTGCTCCTGGCCAGGTCCTTTCTGTTGGGGGGGGGGTGGTATGCAATGCAAATAGTTCAACAGAGAGGGAGGGGATTGAGTAAAGTGGGGAAAATCATGAAAGAAGGAAGGGATGGATGGATGTAAGTTTGTTCACTGTATTATCTTAGGTTTACATGCTTGAAAGTAATAGATGAAGACCCTTATTTTATGATTATTATAATACTGTATGTCATCCATTTCTTTATTTATAATTTTTTTGAGGTTGTGGTTCTGGTTTTAAACAAAGGTAATTACGTATTTATAATAAAGTTGATATGACAAAAAAATTTGATTATGAGGGTGGAAATCACATTTATTTTTAATACAATGATTTTCCCGTTTTTTTTTTTTTACAGGAATTAGCTCCCGGGCACAGGTCAAACAACCCACAACAGGGCCTGGGGGGGGAAGAACAAAGAAATTGAAAATGGAGAACAAAAACGTTATACAGTGACCCCTCGTTTAACGAACACCTCGGTTAACGTGATTTCGATTAACGAACTGCCTTCCATAAGGATCTTCAATTCGGTTAACGAAAAAAATTCGGTTAACGAAGTTCTTACGAACCGACCTCAACATGTTTTCGCTTGCACTGACCGGGCAACCAGCTTTAGTATCAGTCCGCCAATACATTAGTCGGTTCTAGGGCTTAAATTCCTTACTATTTTAGTAAATATCAAGAAGTTTATACTATTCAATAATTTTAAAAGTTTAATATTCAATTTTAGTCATTTTAGAAAAAGTGACTAGTTTAATGCAGAACACAGCAAGGCTCTCTCTGTTTTCACTGGAGCATTCTTCAACTAAATGCTTTTTTTCTGTGTTTCCAAGCAAATTATTGGTCATTTTGAAATATATTTTACATATTGACAATATATAATGCAGTGATTTAAAGAAAATAATCTTGAATTACACCAAGAGAGCTAAAATTTTATGGGTGAAATGGCGCCATGGGGTGACTTCTCTTCCACCCCAATGCCTTCTCTTCTTCCTTCCCCTCCACCCCCATTCTAAATCCCATCATCATTATCATCATACAGGAGCCTTCTACATACACACCTCAAAGTAAGTGAACTTTTCTACCATTTTTGTTGAATTCAGGAAATTTTCGGTGAGTTGGAACCAATTACCCAAAAACCCATTGAAACAATGGTTTCGGTTAACGAACGACCTTCTGGAACGGATTGAGTTCGTTAACGGAGGGGTCACTGTACCTGTATTGTGTTAATCTACACCACGAAGATGCCGGAAAACCAGGTTTTTAAAGTGAGACAGATTGTATAAGTATGGAAACACAGAAGAAGGCAGAGCATTCCACAGTTTGGCTGTGTGAGGAAAGAAGGAGGTACTATAACGCTTTTGTATTTAGTTTATATTTAATGTTTTGTTAATTCTATTACCGGTATACAGTACTTTGTATGTATACTTTTTCTGTGAGTTGGAACCAATTACCCAATATCCCATTGAAATAATAGATTCAGTTAGCGAAATTTTCGGTTAACGAACGACTCTGGAACGAATTGTGTTCGTTAATCGAGGGACCACTGTATATATAACATTAAAAGAGATAGATGAAGATAGGCAACATAACAACAGGGAAATGGACAAAGACAAAAGAAACAAACCTGAAAGGACACAAATGCAGTGGGACTGTCAATAGAAGAAAAAATAAGATCATATTCAAAGTAGAACCAGTAGAGAAAAGTACTCACAGAGTATATAGAAGAACTGTTCACTGATAATGATGGGAATTGACTTAAAAGATTAAAAGGAAATAAAGTTAAGGCTGCTAGTATTGGAAACACGGTGAGGCAGCTGTGAGTAGGATAAAAAATATGCTCACCCCAACACTTGAGATATAAAAAATTGCGTGCTGCATTCAAAACTCTCTGAATTCCAGAATGTACATTAAGTCCTCGCTTAATGTCGGGGTTACATTCCTAAAAGCACGACGTTATACGAAACAACGTTAAGCAGATCAATTTTCCCCATACAAAATAGATAAAGTACGGGAGTTATGTTCCTGAGCCTCCTTTAGCCCCATAAAATACATTACATATATGTACAGAAAATCTTTGCCATTTCTATAGAAACAATGCATACATATACAACTACTAAGTTTGTATTGGTACTCACCGATGGGCGGAGGTGGTGGAGCGAGTGTGTGGTGGGTAGTGAGGCGGATGGCGGGAGTGGAGGAGGGTGGGAGAGTACGAGGGTGGTGAGTCACTGAGACTGCGCCGAGCCTAGAGAGCGTAGCACGGCCAGACGAGAGAGGGTGATGTGACGTAGAAAGTAGTCCGTGACGACGCAAAATGACGTAGTATTGGATCACCGGGATGTTAAACGAATTTTTGGTCTCAAAAGTTGAGCGACGTAGTATCGAAACAAAATTAAACGCGGACTTACTGTATGTTGCACTCTACTTATCATTCAAGAATGTATGTCGCAGTTATCATGTTAAAGATGACTTGTTTTCTCCTCAATGGAAGTAATTGTATCTCTTTCAGTGTTATAACTTTTAACACTTTAATGTGGAGGTCTTATGGTTGATGTATGTGAGAGGATATACAGGATACCCTACTAAACACTGCTTTGGGTATAGGATTTTTTTTTTTTTACGTGATATTACATAACCATTCCTTAGTACCGTATTATGTCATCATATCTACCTTTAGTGACTACTTGCTAAGTACTATATATTATGATATAATTACATTTGGTTCATTCTTTTCAGGTTTTTATCCCGATTGTTCTTGGAATGCCCACATGTCCCGGAGGACTTGATCACCTCTCTTGTGCGAGTGGGAAGTCAAGGTGCAGAATCTATACTTGTCATTGCCAATATATTAAGAGACACAGCCCAGTGGCGACCACTGTCAGCTAAACCAGCTCTTAAAACTCTCTCTCTGCTTGCAACACATGATCATGAATCTGTAAGTAAATTATAAGTACAAGTTATGGGGTTGCTTCAGTGGTGAATGTGGTCATGGAGGACTGTACTTTCTTCCAAAGAATGTGACAATGAATGGTGAAAGGTATATTGAGGTGTTAAGGGACCATATACTCACATTTTAGGACATCCACAGGTGCTCCTTTTTTAATGCATGATTCTACTCCAAGCCACAAGGCCAAAAAAGTGATTAATTTTCTTCGATAAAATCATGTATATGTTTTGGGATGGCCAGGCATCTCACCTGACTTAAATCCAATTGAAAATTTTTGGTCTTACATGAAAAGAAAGCATCGGTGCCCCACCTCATCAACTCCTTGAAAAAATGTGGTTCCACGACATGGATGCAGACTATTTCAAGCATCTGTCAGCATCAATGCCCAAATGCCTCTAGCTGGTCATTAACGCTAAGGGTGGGATCACCAAATATTAAATTTGAAATTATGCAAATTTTTCATTTATTATATTCCGATTTTCATAAGTTTTTGCATACCACTAGAAAAAAAAAGGGTATAAAGGTTTTGGGCAGTCTCTGTAAAGAGAATAAACAATTTCTTATATCTGTGGGAATAAGTATGTAGAGTGTGGGAGAAGCAGAGGTTGAGCAGGAGGAGGATGCTGCATTGGGGATCTCATCCTCCCCTTAATGGGTCAAGCTGTGTACTGCATTATTGTTACTTTTTTTTTCCAAGTTGTAATTTTGGGTAGATATATGAATTAAATACCAGGTGGCGATGTGTCCTCCTTATATTACTGAAGCGGGGCCTTCTCGGATGGGTCCCACTGGTCGGGAAGGTTGTGGACCCCAGGGCCGACCTGATCATCATCAAGCTACTGGGGCCTCAACTGACACCACCGCAGTTGCTGGAGGATCGGCTTTTTTCGCACTTCATTTTTCCAACAGTCACGGGCTGAGATCAAATTTTTCTTCTGTGGAACACCATCTATTAACCTCTTCCCCCGACCTCTTACTACTCTCCGAACTTCAACTGACCAAAGCAGCTTCACCCAAACCTTTTCAAGTCTCTAACTACAACCTTTATACCTACTTCCGTTCTAAGGGAGGTGTATGCACCTACTGCAATACACGTACACCTATAGCCCGACTCACGGATCTTGAATCTCCCCTTTCTCAAAATATCTCTACCTACTGTGACTATTTTTCATTGTTTCCTATACTGTTCTCCCAACTCTACCAACTATTTGGAACTCTTTGACTATCTCACTTCTTGCCATGAGTCGTTGCTATGCACACACCCCAACACCGAGATCCTCTACCTACGGGATTTCAATGTACATCACAGAGAGTGGCTTGGCTCTGCAAGGGATGACCCAGGTGGAGCTGAGGCACTCTTTTTCCTTACTTAATGATTTGGAACAAATAATCAAACACCCTACACGCGTTCCTGATCGACACGATCAACTTGCTAACATTCTTGATCTTTGTTTTACCTCTAACCCCTCACACTATTCATACTCAATTTTTGCCCCCTTAAGGTCTTCTGATCACAACCTTATTTCTATTAAATCAAACTGGGCACGACCACCTCCCCCACCCCCCTCTAAACGTCAACTATGGCACTATCGGAGGGCAAGCTGGCAATCCTTGCGAGAATTCTTCACCGACTTTCCTTGGGATGAATGTTGCTTTTCCACTCGGGATGCCTCAGTATGTGCTGACAGCATTGCTGGGGTTATACAGGGCGGTATGAGTGCATTTATCCCATCTTCTACCAAAACTTTCACATTACAATCATGGTTTGATCGCTCCTGCTCTCTTGCTTGCAGGGTGAGAGATAGGGCATATCGAGCTATGAAACTATCTCCTTCTCCTATTACCTACACCTCTTTCATTACTTCTAGGAATCGTTGTAAGGCTATTCTTCGTAGGGCCAAGCGGAATTTTATTAAAAGAAAGACTGCTGTCCTGACTAATTCTTCCTCTAGTAAATCCTTCTGGTCCTTAGCTAAAAACATCTGTAACAACTTCTGCACTCCTTCTTTTCCTCCCCTCTTCCGTCCCAATAACTCTATAGCCAACTCTCCCCCTGAGAAAGCCAACCTCTTTGGCACCTTATTCTCCTCTAATTCCACCTTAGACGATTCCCACTCTACCCCTCCTACCCCTGCACCTCCTACTGAACCTATGCACTTTCCTATAATCTCCACTCGCAGGGTTGCCGGTGTGTTATCCAGGTTGGATGTGAGTAAGGCGCATGGACCGGACGGAATACCCCCCTCGTGTTCTGAGGGAGTGTGCTGAAGCCCTGGCCCCTGTGCTTGCTCGCCTCTTTCGCCTTTGCCTCAAAACCCAAACTTTTCCTTCTTCTTGGAAGCATGCCTTGGTTCAGCCCATACCGAAGAAGGGTGACCATTCTAATCCCTCTAACTATCGCCCCATTGCCCTAACTTCATCCCATCACCTTGAACGCCTTTCTCTTTTGTCGGATCACCAGTATGGCTTTTGCCAGGCGAGACCTACTAAGTATCTTCTTTCCTATTGCATCCATCTTTGGTCATCCTCTCTTAGGGTATGGCACAAGTCTTTGCTATCTAAACTTCCCTCTTTTGGTTTCTCTCCCCCACTTTGTTTTCTCATCTCTAGCTTCCTTGAGAACCGATCCATGGCAGTTGTTGTCGAGGGATCGATTTCTCGCTCTTTCTCTACCAGTAGTGGCGTCCCACAGGGTTCTGTTCTTTCACCAACTCTCTTCCTTCTTTTTATCAATGATTTACTTCACACTACAACTAATTCTATCCATTCTTACGCTGATGATTCTACTCTTCACTCTTCCTCACATTTTCCCCTTCCTCCTAACTCTCAAACTAGGTCTGTTTCTAGAACTGACATCATTACTTCTATCAACGCGGATCTGTGCAGCATCTCTGAATGGGGAGGTACAAACTTGGTTAAGTTCAATAGTAATAAAACTCAATATTTACCAATTACACTTTGTAAATTAGACGATCTCCCACCAATTACATTTCAGGACGCTATCATCCTCCCAAATTCTGAAATAAATATGTTAGGGCTCACCATTTCCTCCAATATGTCCTGGAAATCACACATCTTTAGTATAACTAAAGCTGCCTCCCGAAAGTTGGGAATGCTGTACAGATGCCGCAGCTACTTCACTCCTTTGCAGTTGCTCCAAGTATATAAGGGATTCATTCGTCCTAACCTGGAGTACTGCTCTCATATCTGGGGTGGCTCTTCTGTCCAACTATTAGATAGGGTGGAATCAAAGTCATTTTGTCTTATTAACTCTCCTCCTTTAGTCGACAATCTCTCTTCCCTTTCTCTTCGCCGCAATGTTGCTTCACTCTCTCTCTTTTACAGGTACTTTAACGGGCAATGTTCGGTGGATTTGGTATCCTGTGTACTGCCAGCAAGGCCGTGGGTTCGTAACACACGTCTTGCCCGCGGTGCCCACCGTTTCTCTGTGGATGTCCGTCACACGAGAATAACCCGTTATAGTACCTCCTTCTTTCCTCACACAGCCAAACTGCGGAATGCTCTGCCTTCTTCTGTGTTTCCATGCTCTTACAATCTGTCTCACTTTAAAAAGCTGGTTTTCCAGCATCTTCGTGGTGTAGATTAATACAGTACAGTGGGGTATGCTATAACGAACGGATCCTACTACGAATATTCCTATAACGAACGGTTTTACCTATAAAATTGAGAATGCTATAACGAACGCGACTCCTACAACGAACGCGGATGAATACGGGACTATTTCGCCTGGCGCATGAATATTGTTGTACCGCGACCCACAACAAGAGCGTCAGGCGCCATCTTTGTCTCATTGTGTAGCCAGTGCACCACTGTTATTGTTGAAATTTCGTCTTTTGATGTGGAAATTCGCGTTATTTGTATAACTATTTTGTTATACAAGTATACAATTGTAACAATGAGTCGTCCAAAGCGAGTGAGAAAGCTAATAACCCTTGAAACTAAGAAAGAAATTATAAAGAAACGTGAGAATGGAAGAAGCATTGCGAAACTTAGTGATGAATATGGGATGGCTAAATCGACTATATGTACGATTTTGAAGAATAAAGAGGAGTTAAAAACTGTGCAAGTGGCTAAGGGAATCTTTAGACTTAGCAAAGCAAAGTGTAATGTGATTGAAGAGATGGAAAATTTACTCTTAGTGTGGATAAAGGAGAAAGAAATGGCAGGTGGTAACATTAGTGAAGCTATAATTTGTGAGAAGGCTAAACAATTGTTTGAGGACCTTAAAGCCAAGACTCCCAGTGGAAGTGATAGTGATGTGCCAGTGTTTAGGGGTACCTGCATGCTGAATAACACTAAGGTAAGATAAAGTACCGTATTTTTTACATTTTCCACAGAATTTTTTCAGTGTTAAGTGGTTGTATTTGGGGGCCTGGAACGGATTAATCCTATAACGAACGAATGCTATAACGAACGAGGTTCTGGAACCAATTACGTTCGTTATAGCATACCCCACTGTATAACCCTTTTTTTTCTATATTTAAAATTTCTTTCCGCTCTTTTTTTTTCGCCCCCCAAGCTCCGTTGTGGGGCGTTTGACCTGTGCCCGGGTGGGTTAATTCCCGTAAAAAAAAATTAAGTAATTAAGTAATTATTTGATGTTTTAACTGCCTGTATGTTGGCTCACTAGCTGTAGTATTAGTCCGCCAATACAGTACAGTAATCGGTTCTAGGGCTTAAATTCGTTACCATTTGAGTAAATATCAAGAAGGTTGTACTTTTCAATAATTTTAAAAGTTTTATATTAAAATTTTTAGTAATTTTAACAATTAATTATTGAACATAATTGAAGTACAGGGAACTAGTTTTTAGCGCACCAAACAGCCACTCAACACACCAAGGTTGGCGTCAGTTTGTGTATCTGTTCAGTGGAGGGAACATCTTGTTTGAGACTCTCTTGAACATACTCTTTTTTCCATTTTTACAGTCAAATTATTGGTCATTTTGTAATATATTTTACATATTGA